CTGGGCGTGACCCCGGGCCGCCTCCGGGCGGGCGATGGGGCGCGGCGCCGCCTGTAGGGCTGTGTCTAGGTACTCCTGAGCAGCGTGTGCCTTGCTTCTGTGTTTCAAGCTGAAAGGTAGTTTCAGCGAGCACGTCTTCTCGGGACAGCTCTGACGTACCTATTTTATTTGTTTATTTATTTATTTATTAGCAGCAGGGGGATTAGCCCCGGGCCTCCACTCCCAGCCCTGCATAAGCGCTTATTTTGAAACGCTTCCTTAATAATCGCCGAGCCGCACGCAGGGCTCAGGCTCGCAGCCCCCACGCCGCCTCCCGAGCGCTGGGGCACGGCTGCAACCCCGCCTGCCCGGAGGGTCCGATCCACGGCCAGGAGCCCCTGGTGGGCCGTGGGGTTCAGGCGGGGCCGGGAGGGCGCTGTGCCTCACCCGGCCCCCGCAGGCCCACCCAGGGCTGAGGGCTTACACGAGGGTAGGGCCCCTCCAGCCCGGCGCGCAGCCCGGCCGAGCCCTCTCCCCGTCGCCCTTGGTGGCTCTTCCCTGCTGCCCGGCCAGCTCCTGGGGAAGAGGAAACAGGCGGCGGCGTCGGTGCTGCCCGCCCGCCGCCTCAGAGACCGGCCAGCCGCGGCAGGGAGCCCGATTCCCTAGGTTTTCTGAAGCCAGTGCTGGCCCCAGCCACTGCCCTCACCGCATTTCCTGAAAGCCTAAAGACAATAAACTCACCTTGCCTTGAATCACATTCTGCAAACCGCTGTTCACCTTCTGAATCTCTGCTAGTGGGGGGCCGCAGGGCTCTGAGTGCGAGTCCGTCAGGAAGTCCTGACGGGGAGTTGGAGGCTGACTCGGGGTGCAGCGCTGTGCGCTCCAGCAGCACAGGATGTGCCGCTCCCTGCCTGAGCCCTCAGCCCAGGCCTCCCAGGCAAGTGGGAGATCTGCCGCCCACCCACCCTGGCCCGCCGCCCTGGCCTGCCGGGGTGAGCCAGCCACACCCCCTGCGGCCAGGGAATGGAAAGGCGCTGACCAGGCAGCAACAGTGAGCACGGCCAATGCCTGCCTGCAGTCTGATGGCCCTGTGGTTAACTCTCCCCTCCCCAGAGGGCTCGCTTGTGCCCCACAAGGGCAGACCCTACCTCTCCAAGGGCCCCCAGACGCAGCTGCTGTCGCTGTGCCTCCCTCAGGCAGTCTTGGAACCAGGCCTGGCCACGCTGCAGCAGCTCTAGCCCCTGCCACAGGGCATCCTGCTGTCTCTCCAGGGCCTGCATTCTCTGCAGCTGGGCCCACGAGAAGGGGGGTGACTCTCAGTCTGATTCGCACCGCCCAGCCCTGGCCAGGGAGCTGGCTCTCCAAGGTCTGGTCGCCGACTACGGCCAGCCTGGCCCTCAGCCCAGCTGCGAGGCTGGGCCCGTGGGCTGAGCAGCGGAAGAGGGCTCCCTGAGACCTCGCCGGGCTGATACTCACCCAGAGGAAGAAGCTCTGGGCCCCGGGGTCTCTGCGGCTGCTCCGCAGCGGCAACAGCAGAACCGTGTAGGGAGCCCGGCCCAGGCGCGGCCCCTGCGGCCCTGCGCTGTCCATAGCGAGTGGAGGGTGGGTGGGGCACCCTGGTGGGCAGGGCTGGACCCTCCCTGCCTGCCCACAGCACTGAGACTGGGTGTCCTGGGCCCCTCCGTTGTCATCTGTTCCCAGGGCCTTTCTGAGTGGTTTGTTGTGATATCTTCAGGGTGCCATCAGAGTGCTCCCCCTGGGGTGTCACTTTTTCTTCGCCGTGTTGGGGGGTCAGAGTCTTACCTTGCCAGGCAAGCACTTGAGCCCCCGCCCATGCCATGGACTTGTGCTTGCTCTGTTTGGGGGTGGCCCACAAAAACATTAACTTTAGGGCCAGGGAGATGGCTCAGTGGAATAAGCGCTTCTCTGGCAAGCACAAGGGCCTAAATTCAATCCCCGGTTCCGGAAAAAAAAAAAAAAAAAAAAAAAAAAACTATCCAAAATTGACTCTTTATTCCCAATAATATTCCAAACTTTGGGTCTGAGGGGCTGGAGGCAGGGAGGAGGCAGAGGCTGGTCTCAGAGGACGGTGGCGGCAGCGGGCAGCACTTCCTGGCTCATGAAGGCACCCACGTCCAGGCTGGGGTCATCCAAGTCCAGCTCCAGAAACTTATCCACCAGCGCCTGGCACCTGGGTGGGGCGCAGTGAGATTCACGGGCGCATGAGGGAGAGGCTGGTGCGGGCATCGGGGGGCTGCGGGGCAGCGAGCACATGCGTACTTTGCCATTTGGTTCTCCTTGCGCAGCTCCTGGACAGGTTGGATGGGTTTTCCGCTGTGAATTAAGTCTGAAACCTGGAAACAGAAAGGAAGATGGGAGGGGAGGGGACATTGTGAAGGACACGGCGCCAGGGCCACAGATCCTGTGGGCCCAGCAGGCCAGGTGCCCAGGTGGTGGGGTGCGCGTCACCTCTTTGGCACGAGCTACGAGTCTGTCCGGAAGCCCCGCTTGGGTCGCCGTGTGGGAGGCGTGGCTGGCGCTGGCCACCCCTTCGCAAACCTGATAGAAGAAGACCAGGTCATCCCCGTCCTCACAGGTTTCCATCGTCTGGAAAGAACAGAAGGGCCGTGTGTCACCGCCTGCTGCGCTGGAGTCCTTGGCTGGCCCGCCTCTGGGAGACACTCCCCAGGGCTCAGGGCTGCCGGGTGTCCTCACCAGGTACTGCACCAGAGGCGCCTGCGGCAGCAGCTGCAGCTGCACCAGGCTGAGGAAGTTGGTGGCCACGAAGACGTGGGGGCATGCGGGCCCGCGCGCCAGCCAGTGTCGGATCACAGCGGCGAGGAGGGCGATGCCGTCCACCTGCGTGCAGCGAGGGAGAGCGCGTGTCCTCCCGACCCCTCTTCCTGCCCCCAGTGCTCACCACTGCCTCCCCTCACCGTGTTGGTGCCCTTGCCAAACTCGTCAATGAGGACCAGGGACTGCTCTGTGGCGCTGCTCACTGCTTTCGCCACCTGCTGGCGGGGAAGCGGGTCATTAGCCCCCGAGGCAGGCCACGGTCCTGCGAGTCCTTCGGTCACGAGGCACCGCCACGGTCCTTTCGCCGCCGACAGTGCCTCGCCGGGGGCAGGGACCGAAAGCTGTGGGCAGCGCAGCCTCGCCACTCTGGCTGCCCAGTGCCCGGCGCAGAGGGAGACCCGGGCTGAGCGCCGCCCCGCCCTTCCTCCCTGACCTGGTTGAGATCCAGCATGAAGGTGGAGAGGCCGAGAGAGACGGACTCGCAGCTGTGGATCCGGGTGAAGATGGCGTCCACCGCGCCCACGTCGGCCTGCTCCGCGGGCACGAAGCTGCCCACCAGGGCCATGAAGGTGATCAGGCCCACCTGCACGGGGGGAGGCGCACGTGGCCCTGGTGCGGGCTGGCCCGTGGGTGAGGGCAGGGTGCTGAGCAAAGAGCAACGGGACGTACAGGCTCACGGCCCACCGGGAACCCCGAGAAAGAGCCACCAGGACGCGCGCGGCTCCCGCGCACAACGGGACGCCTGAGGCGGAGAAGAGGGACCTGGGGCGGGCGGTGGAGAAGGCAGGGGAGGTGGAGGGCCAGGCGGAGAGCTCCTCTCACCTGCTTGAGGTAGATGCTCTTCCCGGAGGAGTTGGGGCCGGTGATGACCTTCACTTTCCCTTTGTCCCCGCCGCATTCTGCGGAGTTGGGCACGAAGGTGCGGGCGCACAGCTCCATCAGAGGGTGTCTGCAGGGGGACAGGCGTCTCCTGGCCTGTGCCCATGGGTCCAGAGGCAGGTGGCCTTTGGGACCTGTTCCCGTCGCCAGCTGCCTCTGCTCTCACCTGCCATTCTGGATTCGAACCCCACAGAGTCCAGGGCAGTAACGGGGCCTGCAGTAGCCATAGTCCCGGGCAGCGCTGGCGAGAGCCAGCAGGACGTCCAGGCGGGAGGCCAGGTCCAGCACCCGGCTCAGGCCGGCGGCCCGCGCCAGCACCTGGCACTGCAGCTGGTGCATCAGCAGGGTCTCCTGGTCTGGGGGTGGGAGGCCGAGCGGAGTCAGAGCCCCCAGAGTGACGGCGGCAGCAGATGGGGCCAGGGACTGCAGAGGGGAAGGCGGGGAACCAGAGGGAGAGCGGAGCGGCAAGGGGCGCCTGTGAGGGCCGCGCTCACCCCGGATCTCACAGTGCAGGTCCCCCAGCAGCGCATCCAGCTCCTTGGTCCGAGCACTTCGGTAATGCAGCTTTTCCTCTGAGAGAAACTGGGGACAGGCGTCCAAAGCTGCCTTCGCCAAGCAGGGTCCACTCCTTGCCCCTCGTGCCTTTTTCTTTTTCTTATTTTTCTTTTTGAGACAGGGCCTCACTATGCAATTCAGGCCGGCCTTGAACTCACTGTGTAGCCCAGGCTGGTCTTGAACTCACAACAATCCTCTTGCCTCAGCCTCCCGAGTGCTAAGATTACAGGCGTGCCTTTCTAATCCCACCTCTAGCTGCCTCTCAAGCCACGGGGTGAGCTCCCACGTGGGGTGCTGCCGGTGGGTGAGGCCTCCCCAGGCGGGGCCTTCTCAGCCCTGCAGAGGTCGGGATCTCACCATGAAGTCCAGCCCCTCGATCTCGAAGTCGCTGGCCTCCACCATAAAAGGCAGGCGCGGAACAGAAAGAAGGAAGCCGATCTAGGGGAGGAAAGGGGAAGACGGAGAGCGCCACCTGCAGGCCCTTCTCTGGAGGAAGGCGCCCCGAGCCGCCAGCGCTTCCCTGCGCCTCCCCCGGGAGGCCTGGCCACCGGCCGTGGGACCCCTCCACAGCTCTCCCTGGCTCAGAGCCCTGGTGGCTGGGCCGGGCACGGTGGTGCACGCCCGTGTGTCCAGCACTCGGGATGCTGAGGCAGGAGGTGGTTGCAAATTCCAGGCCAGCCTGAAAACTTTAGAAAGTAAAAACGACCCGCCACACCAGAGGGATGTAGAGGACGCTGCACGAAGGGATGCGCGAGTCCAGGTTCTCTAGCTCCGTGCGAGCAACTTCAGTGAGGAAGCTGGGGAGCCCCGCAAGCCGCCGTTTCTCTAGGAGGGAGGGAGACGCGGTATCAGCCGTGAGGTCCCTCCTAGCTGCCAGGAGCTTCCCAGCTGGACGTGGTACCAGGCAGGCTTGGGTTTGGGGGCCCCCAGGCTCTTCTGGCCCCTAACTCACTCTCATCAATTTCCGCATCAATGTTGGGGAGCACGGTGAAGCGGTTCTCAGCAAGGCTGCCCTCAAAGTCCACCTGGGGAGACAGGGCGGACCTAGTTCTGCAGCCCTCTGGCCTGCGGCCGGCTCTCCTGGGGACCTGGTTCCTCCCGCAGCTCTGCCTTAACCCTAACCTTCCAGAAAGTTCTGGTGTTCTGCCACCTCTGCTCACCATCCCATTGTTTTTCTTTTTTGTTTGGAAACAGGTTTTTTCCTATGTTATCCATAGCTGGCCAACTCTCTGTGTAGCCCAGGCTGGCCTCGAACTTGTGATCCTCCTGCCTCAGCCTCCCAAATGTTGGGATTATAGCATGCATACATCACCATGCCAGGCCATCATCCCTTTGGGATTGAACTCAGGCCCTTGCGCTTGCCAGGGAAGCACTTACTGCACTGAGCCATCTCCCCGGCCAATCATCCCATTCTTGAGTCTGCTGTGTGCTTCCACCCACCCACCCTACCCCTGGCCATGTCCTTCTCTGCTCTCCAACCTCAGGGTCTCCCTCCCACTCACCACCTTCCCAATGAGGCAGGCGATGTGGTGCAGGTCGTCGGAGAACTCCCAGGCAATGTCCCGGAAGAGCTGGATGGACTGTGGCAGGGAGCGGCAGGCGTCTCTCAGGCCCAGCGCACTGTACACGGTCTGCAGCCATGGAGCAGAGGGGAGGGACAGCGCGTGAACGAAGACCAGTAAGGGAGCGGTCACAACGACAGAGACAATCTCAAAGAAACAGCAGGAGAGTAAGCTGCATTTGGAGAACTCTCCAGGGACTGTCCTAAGGCTTCAAGGACAATGACAACAAAGTCCCTGTCCCAGATGGGTGCAAGGTCTAGTAAGGACAGAAGCACATGCTTCTGTGATTTAAAAAGATGCTCATGGATGGTTTTTTGTTTTTGTTTTTGTTTTTGTTTTTGTTTCAGAACCAGGGATTGAGCTCAGGCTCTCGCCACTTGCCAGGGAAGCACTTATTCTACTGAGCCATCTCCCCAGCCCAAGATTTTTTTTTTAAATATTTATTTTTATTTATTACATTTATTTATTGTGTGTGTGTGTGGCCAGCTCAGCCCACCAGGGGGCGGGGCTGGCTGGCATGTGGTGCTGGGGATCGAACCCGTGGTCCCTGCCCTGTGCTTTGCCAAGCTTGTTTCAAGTAGGTGCTTTAGACCACTGAGCCATCTCTCCAGCCCAAGATTTTTTTTTTTTTTTAAACTGGAGAATGAACCCCAGGTTATCCTCAGCTCTTTCTGTTTTTATTACTTTGAGACACGTTCTTGCTAAGTTGCCCAGGCTGAGATTGAACTTGCAATCTTCCTGCCTCAGCCTCCCAGAGTGCTGGAATTATATGTATGTGCCACCATGCCTCGCGGGTAGGCCCCTCAATAGAGCTTTGTTAGGAATTCCCCTAAGAGGGCTGGAGTGTCGTGGGTCAGTGGTGGGGCATTTGCCCAGCATGCCTGAGGTCCTGGATTCCATCCCAAGTACTGAGAAACATAAAGGAAGAAAAGAAAGCAGAGGAGAGGGCAGAAAGAAAGAGGGAGAGAGAGAGAACGAAAGGAAGGATGAAAGATATGGGAGTCTGACCCAAAGGGAAAAGAGAAATAGAGATGAAAGCAGGAAAAGAGTAAACGAGGGGCTGGGGATATGGCTCAGCAGCATAAGGGCCTGTGTGGCAAGCGCAAGGTCCCAAATTCAATCCTCAGTACTGCAAAAAAAAAAAAAAAAAAAAGCGGGGACAACAGCAGGAAGAGGGGAAGCAAGGGAGTCCTTGAAGAAAGCCCCAGGGCCAGGGTCAGTGACGTGCGTGAGGGGGTGATCCGACCCCAGACTCTGGAGTAGGGGACATATAAAGTATATAAATCAAAAGCTTTATAATCTAGCCATGGAGACAAACAGGCAGCAAAACCAACAACTAGCCCTGTATGAAAGGTTAACCAAGTTGTAGAAATCACTAAATGACTAAGGAAGTTCAGAGAATACTGTGGCCTAAAATATTCTAGAAGTCTTTTCTAAGAAAACTCTGGGGAAGGAGCCAGGGAGGTAGCTCAATAGAATAAGTGCTTGCCTGGCAAGCACAGGGTCCTGAGTTCAATCCCTGGTTCCAGAAAAAAAAAAAGAAAGAAAACTCTGGGGGTGGGGGGGCCACTGTGGACAGTGGCAGAGTGCTTGCCTGGCACGAGTGAGGCCAGGAGAAAACAAAAGAAGTAGAGGATGAGTCTTGAATAACGTTTCAGAAGGGAGGGAGCGCGCTGCGTGACAGCGCAGAGGGGCTGACAGTGCGTGCCAGGAACTGTTCTAGCCTTTCACACATGTTAAGCTCATTCACCCCTCAACATAATCCTATGAGCAGCCTGAGGCACACAGAGGTGACACTGTCCTCAAGGTCTCAGGTGAGAGAGCTGAGAGATGAGAGCGCTGGCATTCAGGTAGCTTATTTGTGTTTTGGTACTAGGGATCGAGCTCAGGACCTTGTGCTTGCCGGGCAGGCGCTTGCAGTGCTGAGCTACGTCCCCACCACGTACCGAACAGGAGCACAGCGCAGTTTCCCAGACAGCGTGGGGCAGAGCCTGATGGCCGCTGAAACGGGCTAAGTGTCAAGCAGCACTGGGAGGGGAATACAGTCAGACATCTTGCTCATATTTTTTCAAAAACTTTAAACTACTTATGGACTAAGTAAAGATATAGCAGAGAATGAAAATCAGATTTCTCCTTGTCAGAGAAGTTATAAACAGAAAAAAAGGGGCCGGGGAGATAGCTCAGTGGAATAAGTGCTTGCCTGGCAAATGCAGGGGCCTAAGTTCAATCCCCGGTTCTGCAAAAGAAAAATAAAAGAAAAGAAAGAAAAAGCAAACGTCTACCGTGAACCCTGTGGCCCTAGGCTGATTAGCGATCTCACAGTGAGCTCCCAGGCAGTGCTACGGAGAGATACGGTGGTACACGCACGGGCACTTCCTGTGGGTGCCTGCGGGGAAGGCCAGAAGTCACTTCAGCGGTGGCATTAATCAGCCAACATTCAAGTCTTGGGTTCCCTAAAGGCGTCTAAAGGTCCAAGAAAAACAGCCAAATTGAAGGCTAGTATGAGGAAGGAAATGAAACAGATCTGAGCGGAAAGTAATGCAGTTGAGACTGAAGACTCCGCAATCTGTGGAAAGCGGGTTCTTAGAAGAATAAAAGCCCCTAGCCAGTCTTCCCAGAAAAGGGCCACCCCATTTGGGACCCCTCCTGGAAATTTAGGAGTTATTGTCCTTGTTCTTTTTCCAATAAAACTTTTCTAATGTAAAAAAAAGTCCAAATGGATGCAGTTAGTAGTGAAAAAGACTAAATTACAACAAACACCACCAGAATCCAGAAGATCAGCAACTGCTACAAAAATCTGTACTTTGGAGAATTCAGGAAAAAAAAAAAAAAGGATAGGTTCCTAGATATGAATGAGTTATTAAGACTTACCCAGAAAGATACAAAAATTCCAAATAACTCAGTAACAAGCAATAAAATTCCAGTAGTAGTGAAAAGCCTACCAAGTCTAAGGACCTGATAAATTCACCACTGAATTCTGCAAGAACTTCAGAGAAAATCAGACACCTCTGGAACTAATTTATTTGCCCCTCCCTCCTCCTCTCTCTTTTGTCTCTCTTGAGATTGGGGCTCACCGTGTAGTTCAGGCTGGTCTGAACTCCATGTGGCCCACACTAGCCTGGAGCTCACAGCAGTCCTCCTGCCTCAGCCTCTCAGGTGCTGGGACTACGGATGTGCACCTCCACATCCTGCCAAGCTGTTCAATGGGTTTGTCAGGGAGGCCTATTTTCCCAAAGTCATTCCTGGAAGCTACCATTACCCTGATTCCAAAACCAGAGAAGGATCCAAACCAAAAGACTGGTCAATCTTGGGGGCTGGTGAGATGGCTCAGTGGTCTGAAGCACCTACTTAGAACAAGCTTAGCAAAGCACAGGGACCCCGGTTCAATCCCCCAGCACCACATGCCAGCCAGCCCCGCCCCCTGGTGGGCTGAGCTGGCCACACACACACACACACATACACACACACACACAAATAAAAAAATTTTAAAAAAAGATTGGTCAATCTTTATAATAAATTTCTATAATATTTACAGGTCAATCACTATAATAAATATAGAAAAATTCTCAACAAGATTGTAAGGGTTGGGCTGGCCAGATAGCTCAGTGGATTAAAGCACCTGCCTAGGCAGATACCCGGATGCAGTGCTGGCCCAGGCCCTGCCCCTGGGGCACACTGAGAGGAAGCACGAGACTGGGTGTGGCAGTACATGCCAGTAACCCAATGCTTGGGAGGCTGAAAACAGGATCACTGAGTCGATCTGTGTAAAGAGACCTTGTAGACCCTGTACTAAATACAAAAAATAAAATAAGATTGTAAGCATTGATACAGCATGTCTTCTTGGGAAGTTTAGAAGTTTTAAAACTCAGCTGGGAGCCAGGGTCCTCACTTTTAAACATCCTCATCCTGGACAAGAGGGGGGCAGGGAGATGGTGTGAGTGCTGCACAGCCCTGGCTGGGGACAGCCTGCCTACAATAGGGACAGCAAGAGGCTCTCTGTCCCTCCTTGTGCTCTTGCTGCTTTTGCTGTCCTCTGTGACCTTGAGCTATGGGCCCTGTGCCAGGCCACCCCACGTTGGAGCCAGCTGATTATGGACTGAAACCTTCACAGACTGAGCTAACTAAACCTCCCCTTCCTCAATTTTGGATGGTGGGTCTTCGGCATCAATCATCCAAAAGGTCATGGATCGTGACCAAGCAGGCTCCATGCCAGGGTTGCAGGCAGAGTTCAGCACACACAGATCAATGTAATACAGCACATAAAGTAAGCATAAAAGTGACATCTCCTGGGGATGGAGCAAACCCTGACAAAACTCAACACCCATTCATGATTTTAAAAAAAATTTAAAGAAGGGGCCGGGGAGATGGCTCAGTAGGATAAGCACTTGACTGGCAAACGGAAGGATCTGAGTTCAATCCCCGGTTCTGGAAAAAAAAAAAATTAAAGAAAATAGATATGCAAGTATACAAGGATCCTACCAACCTGATAAAACTCATTTATGACAACCTACTGCCAAAGTCATATTAAGTGGGAAAAAACAAGTCATTTACTCTGAAATCAATTACAGAGGTGCTGGGGATATAGCTCAGTGGTAGAGCACTTTTCTAGCACACACAAGGCCTGAGATCAATCCTTGGTACCAGACACACGCAGACACACACACACACACACACACACACACACACACACACACCCCAGTTACAGCTGGGCACAGTGGTGCACACCTTTAATCTCAGCACTTGGGAGGCTGAGGCAGAAGGATTGCTTGGAGTTCAAGGCCAGCCTGGACTACGAAGTTTGTTCAAGGCCAGCCTGAACTGCAGAGTAAAACCCTGTCTCAAAAAGACAAAAACAATAAATTCTGTAACATAAGGATGTCTACTGTCGCCATTCCTGGTCAATACAGTATTTGAAACATTAGCCAGAGTAAGCAGGCATGAGAAAGAAATACAAAGGATATGGATAGAGAAGGGAGAAGTCAAGCTATTATTTTTTTTACATATATGATTTTCTACATAAAAGATCCAAGGAGATAGCTTAGCAGTCTAAGCACCTGCTTGGCAAGTGCAAGGACCTGGGTTTGAGCCCAGGTGTCACATGCTGTGAGACCCTGTACCAAGTAAATAAATCTTTCCAAAAAACCCCAAAAATCAGTAGCATTTGTGCACGCTAGTAAAGAAGTCTCTGAGGAAAATATCATTCACAATACATCAGGAAAATTTAAATATTAAGGAATTAACCAAAGAAGTACACACTAGGCAAGCACTATACCACTGAACCATACCTCTGGCTCCATTATTCTTTTTTTTGGCAGAACCGGGGATTGAACTCAGGCCCTTGCGCTTGCCAGGGAAGTGCTTATTCTACTGAGCCATCTCCCTGGCCCTTCCATTTTTCTTTTTAAAAATAATTTTTGAAGTACTTAGCAAAGTGAAGGTGGGGTGGAGGACTAAAAATATTTATTATTTGAAAATAATCCAAGAAGGGGGAAGTGGGAGGATACAGATGCAACACAACTGGTGGGATCACAGTACTGGAGCTGCGTGGTGGGCACGAGGAAGCCAGCCTGTTCTTTAAATACTTTCGACATGGGCCTGGTGAGATGGCTCAGTGGTCTAAAGCACCTACTTAGAACAAGCTAAGCTAAGCAAAACACAGGGACCGCAGTTCAATCCCCCAGCACCACATACCAGCCAGCCCTGCCCCCTGGTGGGCTGAGCTGGACACACACACACACACAAAATAAATAAATAAAAAAAAAATAAAAAAAAAAAAAAGAACAACAAAAAAAAAGATTTAAATACTTTCGACATTTGCCACAATATGATGGTTTTTTTAAGTGATGGGTTAAGGTTGGACACAGTGAGCTGCTCAGGGGCATAAGTGCCTGCATGGCACGCTCAAGGGTCTGAGTTTGATCCCTGGTACCCCCCCAAAAATTTTTTTTTTTTTTAAATAAAAGGTTGGACAGACTGACCAAAGAAAGTCCCAAACACTAAAGGACTTAATTTAGGCCTCTGAGAATCAAGAGGGGAGTGCTTACCTTGTAGAGAACCTGCCAGTCGCTGACCTTGGTGTGGGACAACTTCATGCGTTTCAGAATCAGCTGTAGCGAGACGGGGACAGTCGCTGTTTCCTAGCCTCTGCCTGAGTGCCCCTCAACACACCTAGAGCCACATATTGGCCCTCAACTTCCTGTCCCTGTGCCCTGGGCTTACGGGCACATTCTTGATGTGACTCAGGAGCCGATGCAGCATCTGAGCTGTGTCCAGATTCTGGGGCAGCAGAAAAAACTGAATGACGTCCAGGCGGGCATTGAGCTCCCCCAGGTCCTGCGTGGGACGCGTAAACCACAGCCTGGAAGGGGGGGCAGGAAGTTACATCTGCGCTCACTATTGCCTCAACTGCCCCTTGCCAAGATGCTCGACGCCCTGAGAAGTGTGGCCGTCAGTACGTGTGACGTGCGCCACAGCAGTGTCCTGTGAGTGTGGGCATTTATGCCTCTACAGAACACTGCTGGCTGCAAGCGTGAGCATGTGCGTGTGGTTCTGATGGATGACAGCATGTGTCACTCCCCGTGGCCATGTGGTGGAGCCTGTCAATATTTAAGAGGCAGTCAGTGTGCTGAGGTATTTGTGTGCCAACACTAGCGCTCGCTGGGGCACAGCAGGGGACGGTGAGCCGGCACCCTCCCCTCACCACCACGCTGCTGGCCACAGGATGCCGGCCCCCGCTCCAGGACAGGATGACCTGCTGGTCCTGTTCACAGTACCCAGGCACTGTCCCATGTAGAGATCAGAAAACAGAGGCTGGAGCCTGGGCCCTGCCTGATTCACTTTGGGCTCCTGTTGATCAGTGAGCCCAGAGCCCGGGCTGAACCATAAGCCACAACGCTGTCCACACTCTCAGGCGCAAGTCTGAACTCAGCTCTCAGAGTATCTCTGGGAAGCAGCCATTTGTTTTTCTGTGTTTTTCCTGTGAGGAAGTAACAGTCCCAAACGGTCCCATGTGGAATAAGGCTGCAATTCATAGTACTGCTGATCTCGGCAAAGAAGACAGCGTCAGCAGGGGCACCGTCAGCAGGAATAATTATTCTGGATTTATTTTTCTTAGAACTAGAGATTAAACCCAAGGCCATCATGTTGCGCTAATGTCCCCAGCCCTTTCCTTTCCCTTTCTTTTCTTTGCGGGGGAGAGGGGTACTAGGGATCAAACTCAGGACCTTGTGCTTGCTAGGCAGACACTTAATGCCACTGAGCTATCTCCTCGGCCCCCTATTCTTATTTTGAGACAAGGTCTCACTGAATTGCCCAGAGCTCAAATGCAACCCTGCAGGGTGTAATGGTGCACACCTGTAACCCCAGCACTCTGAGAGGCTGAGGCAGGAGGGTCATTGAGTGTGAGGCCAACCTGGGTTACATAGTGAATTCAAGACCAGCCTCAGGGCCAGGGAGATGGCTCAGTAGAATAAGTGCTTGCCTGGCAAATGCAATGGCCTGAGTTCAATCCCCGGTTCTGCCAAAAAAAAAAAAAAAAAAAGTTTAAAAAAGAAATAAAAAAAAAAAAAAAAAAAGACCAACCAGCCTTAACTTACACAGGGAGACCTGTTTCAAGCAAACAAAAGTCCTTGTAATCTTCCTTCCTTAGCCTCCCAGAACCTGAAGTACAGAACTCTTCCCCCTAGTGCTATAGAAAGAACGCAAGGCCGACACGTGCTGGGCAAGCGCGCCTACCACTGTGCCAGCAGTCTGCAGTCTTTTTCGGGTTTTGTTTGTTTTTTTTTTAAATTAACTTCCAATTGTCTTACAGCCTACTGCTAATGCAGGATGCCAGCCTCTCCGAGGGCCTTACTCTCAAATTGACGAGAAGCTGTTATTCCTGTTCTTATTACTACTTTGGTTGCAGAGGTATTTTCTAATAACTTAAAAGAATTATACAGAAATAAATGTCTCATCTATGTTTGTCTAATTGTGGGTATCCCTGTGGTTATGAAGAGTATAAGAACTAAGTTTTTTGTGTTTTTTTTTTTTAATTTATTTTATTTATTTATGTATGTGGCCAGCTCAGCCCACCAGAGGGCGGGACAGGCTGGCGTGTGGTGCTGGGGATTGAACCGCCATCCCTGTGCTTTGCTAAGCTTGTTCTAAGTAGGTGCCCTAGACCACTGAGCCATCTCACCAGCCCCAAGAACTAAGTTTTTTGTTTGTTTGTTTGTTTGTGGATGGCTGGGCCCACCCTGAGGGCAGGGCTGGTGCGGCATGTGTGAGGCGGGGATTGAACCTCCTCCCTGCGCCTATCTATGCAGGCACTTTAGACTGCTCAGCTATCTCGTCAGCCCAAAACTAAGAATTTAAACCCATAGATTTATTTATTTATTTATTTTTT